TATAACTTCATATTAGTATTTTTGCATTCATTAGGTAGTTACCTAGGAGTGGAATTGCTCGATCGTGCAGCAAATCTATTTTTAATATTTGAGAAACTTCCTGACTGTTTTCCATAAGGGCTGGACCAACTTACATTCCCACCAACTGTATAGGAGAGTTCCTTTTCCTGCATGTTCTTAGCAACATTTGTTTCTGGGCCATTCCTATGGATGTGAGGTGGTAACTCATTGTGGTTTTTATTTGCATTATCCTTATAACTGAAGATGAGCATTTTTTTCATGTGACTGTTGGCTGCCTTATGTCTTTGGAGAAATGCCTTCTGCCCATTTTCTGTTACTTGTTTTCTTATTGTTCAGTTATATGAGTTCTTGGATATTAACATGTTCTTTGGATGTATGATGTGCAAATATTCCCATTTAATAGGGTGTGTTTTCATTTTAATATTTTTTCCACTGTACAGAATCTTTTCAGTTTGATATAGTCCTGTTTGTTTATTTTTTTGCTTTTTTCCCCCTTGTTGTTGTAGTCCAGTTGTCAAAAACCTCACTGAAGTGAAAGTCATGGAGTGCTTTGCTTGTGTTTCACTCCATGTATCTTATGGTTTGAAGTCTTATGTCCAAGTCTTTGATCTATTTTGAATGAAGATCCATTTTGAATGATCTCCTTTGTGTTCATTTATGTGTATGGTATGAGTGATCTAGTTTCATTCTTTTGCATACAGTTTCCCAATTTTTCCATCACCATTTGTTGGAGAGACTTTTTCCACATTGTATGTTCTTAGTTCCTTTGTTTTAAATTAACTATACATGTAAGTGTGGGCTTATTTATGACTCTCAGTTCTAGTCCATTAGTGTGTGTATTTAATTTTATTCCAATACCAACCAAACTATTTTGATTGCTATAACTTTGTAGGATAGTTTGGAGTTTGGGCATATGATACCTCAATTCTTTTTTGTCAGGATTGCTTTGGCTACGTGGAATCCTTTGTAATTCCATATAAATTTCAGTAATATTTGAATAATGCCTTTGAAACTTTAATAGGGATTGCATTAAATCTGCATATTACAGTGGATAACATAGCCATTCTAACAATATCAATTCTCCCAAATCATGAGTATGGTCTATCTTTCCATTTCCTTGTGTCTTCTTTTATGTCTTTTAACAATGTCATATAGTTTTCATTGCACAGTCCTTCACCTCCTTTCTTATTTCCTTTACTCCTAGATATTTAATTATATTTTATTTGATTGTAGACAGGATTGTTTTCTTTGTTTCATTCTTTTTTAGTTCCCTATTTGCATATCAGAATGCAACAATATACCGAGTAATTCTTTTAATGTATTGCTAAATTTGGTTTGCTAAGGTTTTATGAGGATTTTTGCATTTTTTTGTTCATTAGGGATATTAGTTTGTAGTTTTCTTTTTCTGTGATATCCTTGTCTGATCCTTAGTATCAACATGAAATAAATTTGAAAAATTTTTGGAAGAGTTTGAGATGGGTAGATAATAATTCATCTTTGGCAGTTTAGTAGAACTCACTAGTGAAACTATTCTTAGACATTTGTTTTTTGGGATACAGTTGATTACTGTTTCAATTTCCTTGATTGTAATTGGTTTGTTCACATTTTCTTTTAACTGATTCAATCTTGGAAAGTTGTTTGCTTCTAAAAACTTGTTCATTTCTTCTAGATTATCCAGTTTGTTCACATAATGTTCAGTTTCATAGTAGTCCCTTGATCCTCTGTATTTCTGTCATGTCTGTAGAAACTTACCCCTTTCTTTCCTGAATCTATTTATTTGTTTTCTCTCCAATTTTTGTGATTTCCCCTTTATTTCTAATGACTTTTAATTTTATTTGTTCTTTTTCTGGTTTCTAGAGTGTAAGGGTTAGATTATTTGAGAGTCTTCTTTTTTCTTGATATGGGCTTATATTATATAAACTTTTTCCTCTTAGTACCCCTTTTGCTACATCCATTAGGTTCTGATAATTCATGTCTTCATTTTCTTCTGGCTCCAGGCATGTTTTAATTTCTCTCTTAATTTTCTCATTAACCCAGTAGTCATTTAATAACATGCTGTTCAGTATCCATATAGTTGAGATTTTTCCCACTTCCTTCTTTTGGTTGATTTCTAGTTTGATACTATTATGATCAAAAAAGATACTTGATAGAATTTTAATATTTGTGAACTTACTGATATTTGTGATCCAAAATGTGGTGTCTGTGAAAACTCTGAAAAGTTTCCATGTGCATTTGAGAAAGAATGCGTACTAAACCTTTGGGAATGGAGTGCCCAGTAAATGACTAGTAAGCGCATCTGGTTCAATTCCTCATCTAAGGCTTTTGTATCCTTATTGATTTTGCTATTTGGTTGATCTGTCCATTGAAATAAGTGGGGTGTTGAAGTCCCCTATACTCTTGTGTTGCTGCTAAGTCTGCCTTTAGATTTGTTAATAGTTGATTTATATATTTTGATGTTCTTTCATTTGGCACATGTACTTATTCATAAGTATTATGTCTTTGTGATGTATTGATCCCTTATTTATTATGTAATGTCCATCTGTTCCATGACCTTTTTTAACTGAAAGTCTATTTTATATAAGTATGACTGCCTCTGCTTTTTTTAGGGTGGTATTTGCTTGTAGGATTTTTTTCCAACCTTTTATTTTGAACCTATATTTATCTTTGTAAGTCAGATGGGTCTCCTGGAGACTTTTTGATCCAGCCAGCCACTCTGTGCCTTTTGATTGGTGAATTCAGTCTATTACATTAAGTACGATTATTGATAATGTCTTGCTCCTGCCAGTTTGCCTTTAGTTTCCTTTTTCAATTTTTTTAATTGATCTCCTTTGAACTTTGTATTTTAGGAGAGGGCTAGTTTTGGCAAACTCTTTTAGTTTTTGTTGCATTTAGATAATCAGATGTTCTGTTAGCTTTGTGGACTTGTGTATTTAGTTCTTTCTCCAAGATTGGGATGTTTCCTTCTATTATTTCTTTCTATTATCTCTCCTCCTCTTCTCTGTCTGTTCTCCTCCCCATTCTGGAATACCCATTATCCTTATGTTGGCTTCCTAGTAGAGTCAGATAGTTCTCTATGTGCTGCCATGTATTTTTTTTCCCACATCTTATTATTTCTCTCTTCTTCACCTGATTGATTTGTGTATTGCCATTGTTGAGGTTACTGTTTGAGTCTCCGTTTGGTCTATTCTGCTTCCATACTTTCTTCAAATATTTTGTTTTCTTGAGTTCTTTACATCTTGAATCTGTTGTTTTCTCATTTAAAACTTCAGTATCTACCTTCTCCTCATTGATTTTATTTCTGAGCTAATTTGTTTTTATGAATTTTCTGTATCTCTTTGATTAACCTTTCTAAGTTCATTTAAATGAAAATTCCCTTTTTGTATTTTCTTCTATCTCTTCAGTTTTATTACAGAAATTTTGAACTCTCTGAATGTAACATAAAAGCTTCCATTTTTGTGGTTGGGTTCTGGAGAGTTGTTCTCTCTTGTGATGTCATATTCTGTGAAGTCTCAAGGTACCATGTTTTTGGTTTTGGGGTTTGGGGTTTTTTGGGTTTTTTTTTTTCCCTCCTGCCTGTTTTGTTCCTTTAGGTTTCTCTATAACAGTAGCTTAGAGAATTGAACTACTTTCACTTTTCCTAAAGCAGACTGCAGGGCCTTTTTCCATTTGATTTGATTGTAGTTTTTTTTCCTTTGTTGTCTTCCTAATACATGTTGCTGTGTCATCAGGGTGGAGAGAGGCCTGGAGTTCTATCTGGTGGGATGAAGTGCCACTAGAAAATCACCTCCTATACACTTTGACACACCCTGCATATACACCTCTGGGAGGTGTTGTTGCTAGACTCTTGTGATAAACAGCTGGGCTTCAACTTACGTGCTTTTTCCTCCCATCCAGGATTTCTATAACTACCTATATAATTTAGTAATATCCTGAGGCACCCAGTAATTGAAAAATAAGTGTATCATATATGAAATTATTATAGAGGTACATTTCAGCTGCTAGTTGCTGAAGTGTTAGGAATTGTTATCACTACAATGAAAATGAAAGTTTATGAACTAGAGCACCAATACATTCATCTGTGCTACTAGAGAATCTTTAATCATTCTCACTTTGGGCTGTTTTAATTTTTTTTTTGAAGTCTCTTAGTCTGTTTCGGCTGCTATAACAGTAATTCACTATAAATTGGGTAGCTTCATTAAATAGCAAAAATTTATTTCTCACAGTTCTGAAGGCTAAAAAGTCTAAGATCAAGGTGCAAGCAGCAAGAAAGCTCTTTGGAGTCTATTCTATAAGGGAATGACTCTACAACTTCATGTCCTAATCACCTCCCTGGGGCTTAAGTTTTCAACATATAAGTTTTATGGGGCACAAACATTCTGTTCATAATATGGAGTAAGCTGCACTTTGGAAACTATAATCTGTCACCAGAAAATATTTTGTTCTTTTCTTATATGAAAATGTTCAGCGTATATTAAACTTCATATAGAGTCAGGGTCAATGATTTTTTTTCTTCTTATGTATTAGGTTTTATAATGAAAGTTAGCAGGAAGAGTCACTTAACATAAGCTTTTTTCCAGTAAGTTAGTAAAGTACATTCATTCAGATAAGGAATGTGTAATTGTAGAGCCAATTTTGTTGTTATTATTCTACCTCAGTACCTGATAATTAATGTAAGCAATGAAAATAATAAAGCATTTCTGTCTAGCTCTGATGATAACTGCAGAGAGACTTTTTAAAGCAGAAGTAATGCCTTTATATTTCCATACTTAAGCTTAAAAAATTTTAAATGCATTAAGGATGACTTTAGGAAAACTGAAAAGCGTCAAAGAATAACTACTACTATCATGCTTGTGCTATAAGAAGCACTTAGGACTCCCTTTTTTTTTTCATGTCATAACACTATATATTTTCAGTGAGATACATATTGAGTAAGATGACTCTCAGAATGATTATAGCTTGGATTTTGTGTTTTCTTGTAGCTGCTAGGTGAACTGATACTGGACCGACACAACTTTGCCATTATGACAAAGTATATCAGCAAGCCAGAAAACCTCAAACTGATGATGAACCTCCTTCGAGATAAAAGTCCCAACATACAGTTTGAAGCCTTCCATGTCTTTAAGGTAAAGTAAAAGCTATGGAAATACTGCAGTGGGTTTTTATTTTTGAGTTTCTAATGGCATACTCCCTACTGCTTACTCTCCGTGTACTTAAGAGAAAATTAAATAAGCAGTCTTTATTTTTGCATGATTTAAATGAAATTTTAGAGTGCTCTTAATGAATGCCCATTTATTTCTGAAAGTTTTGCTAACTAACCCATATTTCTAAATATTTTTTACTAAGAAAGTAGGTGAATGCTGTTTCTCAAACATTTCTAAATCAATGATTGAACTAGAACCTAAACCATAAGTGTCAGAATTTGAATGCTTTCTTCTCTGCCAATCACCCTCTCTTTAAGCCTTAAGTAAAGCACTGGAGAAACACATGGATTACTACTCACTTTTATTACTTGTTTATAAATATTTTTTTAATAGTTTTTTCAATGTTCTATTTTTTTCCTCTGATATAAAAGAAAAATCACCTCCTATACACCTTGACAACAGATTTTATTCAAAAAGTAGGGTAGGTAATGGACATCTAATCTATAATCCCATACTCATAACTATTGTAAAGATTTCAGTAAATTTTATTTCTCTGTGCATGTGTTTGAGAGTTTTTTCCACATCTGTAGTTACATCATATGCAAAACTGATATAATTTTATCACATAATGCTATACCATAAATGAACACTATTCATTGTTATATATATGATTTTTAAGTTAGTAATTTTTATTGTCATCATAGTTCATTATTCAGTATATTTACTCTAGTTTATATATTCCTGTATCATTTATATTTTGGTTATTTCCATGCTTTCCTACTATAAAATGTAATGCTTTTATGTATCCAGCTAGTTTTTTCCATACTTAAGAATTTTTTTCCTCTAAGAAAGAAATCTAGAGTAGAAATAAAAGGGTTCAGAATTGCAGTATTTTTTCTTTGTCTTTTTAACAAATACTCAGTGATAGAATATATATCTATAAATGGGAGATATGACACTTTATAAGGTTATATAATTGTTGGCCTTAGCAGGTTATAAAAATTAGTTTATCTTTCAGCCACCAGTTTTATATTGTGCAGAAAGCCACTGGAACAATTCAAGTCCCAAATTAATTTATTAATTCCATTCAAATCCCAACAGGACTTTTTCCTCAAACTTGATAAGTCAGTTCTAAAATTTGTATAGCGGTAGGTCAATGACCTAAAATGATATGACAGGGCTTCCCCGGTGGCGCAGCGGTTGAGCGCTGGGTTGCGAAGCTGCCCGCAGCCTCTGCAGCGCCGGTTCGATCCCCAGCTGCTCCCTGGCCACTGGAGGAGGGTCCCACATGGCGCGCAGACCTCTCCTGCTGCCCCGCTGCTCCCCTCAGCAGTGTACTTAGGTCCTCTGGCCTGCTCTGCTCCCTGCTCTGGCTCTGGTGAATTCTCTCACCCTCCCGTGCTTCTGACTGTACCCAGTGCTTGTATAAATCAATCAGTTAATCAATCAATCAATCTTTAAAAAATAATAAAAAAATAAAAAATAAAATGACATGACAGTTTGATCCTAAAATGACCCAAAGAACGAGGCGGGGGGGGAGGGAGTTTGCCCTATTCAATATGAACACTTATTATGGATTTACAGTAAATGAAAACAGTATTTTATTGGCATAGAGATTAATAGAACAACAAAAACAGAGTAGAAGGCCCAGGTATAAATCAATGAGAATACAATAATTGATTCTGATATTAGAGGGATTACAAATCAGTGATAAAAGGGTTAACTAATAAATGGTTCCAGAGTAAGGGATGATCTGTATAGAAAAGCCTACCCTCTGCTATACTCAGAAATAAACTCTAGGTGAAGAACTACACTTGAAAAGCAAATTTTTTAATCTTTACAAGTGAAAGTAGGAAATTATATGATTAAATTATAAGAAATAAAAATCACAACTCATAATAGGAAATATTAATAAGTCTGACCACATTATAAATTGGACACATTCTGTGCGAAAAGACATAATAAGCAAAGTGAAAAGATAGGATAGAATGACACAACTGATAATCATTGATTAAAAAAGCTGTTTATGGACAAATGGGCAAAGAGTACGATCTGCAAATTAGGAACCCTGTTGCAACTGTTAAGTGAAGATGCTATTCTCATTCGTAATCACAGAAATTACCATCTGAAATATCAGTATCACTTCACATTCTTCATATTAGCAAAAATGTTGAAACCTGACAATGTCAAATGCTGTTGGAGGGCAGTGGGAACTCTCATACACCGTAAATTGGTACAACCATTTAGGAAAGCAGTTTAGCCAAATACAGAAGAAAGTATTTAGCAAAATAAAGAACTGAAAGTGAAAATACCCTTCAACCCTGAAATCTCATTTCTCAGCCATTTCCTGGAGACACTCTTTTAAACATGTGCATCAGGAACCATGTTTAAAAATGTTTGTTGCAACATTGCTTAGAATTAATAGAGTTATATGGATCAGTAAGATAAATCTCAGATAAAACATTGAGTAGATATTTAACCTTAAAAAGATGTTACTTATTTAAATTTCGAAAATATTCAAACAGCACTATGCATGGAACATACATATGCATTATTGTCCAAAAGCCATGGGAATGGTAAACACTGATTCAGGATAAGGGATCACTTGGGGGAGATGTAGGTAAAATCATGAAGTAGTGTTCAGAAACCTTTAATTGTAAGGCCTCCCTGGTGGCCTAGGGGTTAAGTCTCAGTGCTGTCACCTATCACTGCTATGGCCTGAGTTTGATCCCCACCCAGGGAGCTAATCCACATATGGCACAGCAGACCTCTCCTGTCTCTCCCACTGCTCCCCTTACCAGTAAATCCGGTGCTCACTCTGGTGCTCACTCAGAGTGCTCCCCACTCTGTCTCTGGTGAATTCTCTCACCCCCACACCTCGGGCCTACACCCCAGTTCTTCTCTCTCGCTCGCTCTCTCTCACACACACACACACACCTTTATATCTGTAATGTTTTATTTAAAAATATGAAGACATACGTAGCAAAAATACTGATAGGGATGAAGGAAACATGAATCCTCCATGTATTATTCTGTTAGAATTATTTCATAAGAAATAAACACAGGGGAAAAGGTGGGGAAGAAAAGAAACACAAATTGGATGAAAGAAAAATAGGCTGTTGTAGGACTGGAAAATGTTTAGATAGTATAAAATGATAGACTCTCTTAAGACCCTCTGATTGACGAAACTATAGAAGGCTGTATGTTATATCATTCAGCTTCCACATAATTTTAATGTCATCCTAAGTGATAACATGCTTCGTATAATTTTTTTAAAAAATAAATTGTTATAGAGTACTCAATGGGTGGCAAAATAGAAACAACCAACTTCTGTTCTCTAAGAACATCAGAATTTAGATCATATAATCCCATTGGATTGGACATAATAAGTGCATTTAAAAATACTTGATTAGGGGGCCTCCCCGGTGGCGCAGCGGTTGAGCGCTGGGTTGCGAAGCTGCCCATGGCCTCTGCGGCCCGGGTTCGATCCCCAGCTGCTCCCCGGCCACCAGAGGAGGGTCCCTCATGGCGTGCAGACCTCTCCTGCCGCCCGCTGCTCCCCTCAGCAGTGTACTTCGGTCCTTCTGCCTGCTCTGCTCCCCGCTCTGGCTCTGGTGAATTCTCTCACCCTCCCGCGCTTCTGACTGTACCCAGTGCATGTATAAACAAAACAAACAGGGCCTCCCCTGGTGGCGCAGCGGTTGAGCGCTGGGCTGTGAAGCTGCCTGCAGCCTCTGCAGCGCCGGTTTGATCCCCGGCTGCTCCCCCGCCACCTGAGGGAGGGTCCCACATGGCACGCAGACCTCTCCTGCCGCCCGCTGCTCCCCTCAGCAGTGTGCTTCGGTCCTTCTGCCTGCTCTGCTCCCCGCTCTGGCTCTGGTGAATTCTCTCACCCACCCGCGCTTCTGACTATACCCAGTGCTTGTATAAATAAATAAATAAAATAAAAAAAATTTAAAAAAATAAATAAATAAACAAAACAAACAAACAAATAAATAAATAACATGCCTCTATTAAAAAAAAAAATACTTGATAGGGCCACCCTGATGGCACAGGGATTAAATCTCAGCATTATGAAGTAATCGACAGCCACTGCAGCACAAGTTCGATCCCTGGCCAGGGAGCTAACCCACATGGCACAGCAGCCTCTCCTGTCTTGCCCACTGTGCCCCTCAACGGTGTATTTCAGTGGATCTTCCAGTTTTGCTTCCCACTCTATCTCTGGTGAATCCACTCACAACCCCACCCCGCCCCACCGCCGCCCACACCTCTGGCCTACACCCCAGCTCTTGTATGCATAAATAAATAAATCTTTAAAAAAAAAAACACCACCCTTTCATTTTGCAAGTGAGGAAATAGATCCAGATGGATTTGCTCACAGTCATTTCTGGCAACTAAGCCGGAACATAATCCCAGGTCTCCTGAATCCCATCCAATGCTTTACCTCCATACATCATCCTGCTCATGAGTAACAGAAAAAAATATTAAATGACATCTCATTCAAACCCCTGAATTTATCAGCAAGCTAATGAAAATCAGCTACTACTAACCCAGGCATTTTCGGGCCTCCCTGGTGGCGCAAGGGGTTAAGCACAGCACTATGAAGCTATCCGCAGCCTCTGCAGCCTGAGTTCAATCCCTGGCTTGGCCAAGGAGCTACCCACATGGCGCAGCAGACCTCTTCTGTCTTGCCCAATGCTCTCCTCAGCAGTGTATTTTGGTCAGTTTGCCTGTTCTGTTCCCCACTCTGTCTCTGGTGAATCTTCTCACCGCCCACACCTCTGACCTGTACCCCAGTTCTTGTATGCATAAATAAATAAATCTTTTTAAAAAAATGGCATTTTCAATAATATGTTTCACATTATCAGTACCTGATGGACGAAGCTTTGGGGGAAAAACTATTAATAAAGGAAGGAGAAAAACTCCAGGACTCAGCAGTCACTTTTTCTTAACAAAATATGTTTCTGGCATGCAAACAATTC